TCTAGAATCGATTAATTTTATGGAAGAAAACCTTTCAAACAGCCATAGTCTGTAAACTGCACACCTGCCGGGCTGTGATTGGCTCATGTATTTAAGGATTCCTACAATGTGAAATTCTTATAAAGTGGAACGTATCTATGTTATAGGGGGGTCGACTGTACTGACAACAAGAATATGTTACTGAAAATTTATTAATAAAAATTATGTTGATCATCCTCATCATATTATTCGTGTTTCATCATCATCATATTATTTTCTGATTCTATAGAATCATCATCTCTAAGCAACTCTGATCTATTTCTTCTTCAACATTTGTAATCCATTTTAGCTACTCCATATGCTTCAAAGTTCTTATACTTGATTGATTATAAAAATTTACAACAACAGAATAATCTAAAGAGCATTAAAAAATAAGCATATATTTGTACAATTATAATACTACTCCTTCCTTAATGACTGTCTCAGGCAGAACAAATCTAAAGAATATTACATATTAAAGATAAATTACATATTAAAGAGCTCTCAACTGTCTGCATTTTGCATAAACAGTTAGATTTTTGAGTGGGCCATCTGCACATTCATTGTTTTTAGCATTTGTCTGCTGTTTCCTGAATCTTCCAATTATCAATCTGTTTTAAATTTTGTTTGCTAATAAAAATTTTTTTGATGATGATGGATGTTTTCTTTGAAAAAATATAAATTTGTTGACACACATTATATGATTTGTTTCCAAATGTTTTTAAGAGCTTGAAACTTTTAAAAGTTTTGATACAAATTGTGATGGGGTGATTAATCAGAATCAAAAAAATCAGGCATTTTCTGGGAATCGGAATTGAGCAAATATCATCAGAATTTCTGATTCTTAAAATGATTCTTCCACATTTAACAAGAAAATTATTTGTTTCAGTTGAAGATTAAAAATTTTTTAAATTACAATATTAACAATTGAGTATTAGTTTATTGGAAGCTATCACATAAATAAAGCAGAGAGCACATAATGCCCCATATATGAGGTGACATCTGTTGTGGTGACTTTTGTTTTGTGTAGTCAGAGTGATGAGTGATTGCATTCAGTTGGTACTAATGTTCCCATTTTGAGAGAGATAGGGTTGCTATCTGGCCTGTAATATATAAAATTATTTTTAATATTTTCATTTTAAACATTTTCAACATCTTTTTCATACATCTGCATCAGGTTTAACAAGAATTCAAACTGCTTAAGAAGACAGTTTGAATCTTTTTGTTAAATGAATACAGATCTATGGAAAAGGTGTTGAAAATGTTTATTTAAAGAAATTAAAGTGTTGCTAAAAAAGTATTTGAGGTGTTGTTCAAGTTAAATTAGTATTCAGCTTATATAGAAGTGTTTTTGTCATGATACTGTTAATCATAACAAATGCGATTCATACAATTCGAAATAAAATAATTATTGTGCTAAATTTACTGACTGTTTGAGTTTTAAAAATTGCTTTTTCATGATGAGTCAGTCTAGACATTTGTTTGATTCTTCTTTCCTCAAAAAACCTCATGCAATTGCACATTTAGGAAAATCTGGCTCAAGTGAATGGATTCAAAACTTGGTTAACTGGTAATGATGATGATATTTGTTTGGTTCATTGCATCATTTGCTGAACCTCATTTAGTATTAAATATGATGGAATTAAAGCATTTATGTGGCATGCCAATTCTGAGAAGCATGAAAAAAGAAATGCATCTTCTCATTTACCTTTCCCTCTCCTGGTCATCTCCTCAGTCAATGAAGTAGTTTCCAAAGATGACGACGACCTTAGATGACACAATGGGATAATTCTTTGATTAAAAGGAAATTTATTAGTTGTAATTTCTTTCAGGATAGTATTGCAATATTAACTTTATCTGAATAAGATTACAAATTTATTTTGTGGTACACAATAAAAGCATGAATATCCACATATAAATGGAGAATTTTAAGGTGTCTTTCAAAATATTGATTCTGAATTTCCCAATCATTTTCCATTCTTAAACCTTATGTTTATTAATCAACTAGCTGTGTTACTCGTTGTTGATGGGAGATATTTATTTGGTGAAATTATATTTACTTACCTAAAGAGTATATATGCAGAGAATTGTATTACAGATTCATTATATTTCTATTAAAAGTGTGGAATATTTTCTAGATAAACTTATTGAATAACTTTCCAATATACAACATTTGTGTTTTATCATCAGGAGCACAAATGAACAGATTTGCAACTACTAACATGTGAGCACGCAACATAGAGTTGCTGCGAAAAGCAACTGCATTCCATGTCGAGTCCCACAACTCTCAGGCTTTGGCCTTGAGACTTGTTAATGGTCATTGTAAAGCATAGACCGAGTGGAAATTGTAGATGTTTACATTCAAATGGGTAGTTTGTCAGGATTAATGGTATGTTATTAAATGATATATCTGTCCCTCAATTTTGAATGTTGGCATGAAATTTCTTTCAAGTATTTCAATGGTACCAAAACTTGTCATTTGGAAGGCCCTATTGTGCTTTAAAAAATGTTTAGTGTCAGGATGAGTCCCATTTAATAGTGATAAAAAAAGTTTGGGGCAAGTACAACTTCCAGTTTAACTTTGCCAGAAGAGCAGCAAATCCCGTGATTCATTCTTCCACTTCAGAGCACTACAATACCCACATACTTTATCTATAGATCCAATATTAGCTGATGATGAATATTCTAAGTGTGTCATAAATGAAAGCACTTCAGGGTTTTTTGCACTGAGGATTTATCATTTTTGAGCAGGCATAATCTTCGCTCACACAAATAAATAAAGTTCATGCAAATACAGCTAAGCCTGACAAATCATGAACACAATACATAAAGATTCGAAAACCTGTCATATGTACACATACTGCTATCCAGCATGANGTCATTTTAACATAAGAGTACTCTTAAATAGAGAAAGGGAAACACGAAACCAAAAATAAACAGATTTTACTTTAATTTTAAGTTATTTTTATATTAATTTGCATAATAATATATGTTAAATAACACAAACATATGCACACAGAAATGTAAGAATTTATTTTTTGTGACAAAGATCCTGGCTTTTCTGAAATTCTTGTTCTTTGCAATAAAGTCATGTAGATTCATTTGTCGCTTTTTTCTTTCCTTAAGCAAATGTCAGTAGAAGAAGAATGCATCCAAAATGACTCTTCATGCTTTTGCACTCCTTTCAAAATCTGGATCATTCGCTACAATTTGATCAACGATTTCAGTTACCGTTACCAAACTTTTACTAAGGAAATCTGTAAAGAAATTCTTTGGGTTCATTTTCAGAATCTCTATTTTCCAGTTCTACAGGAATTCCTTGTTCTGCCAATTCTTGAAGGTTGTCGTTGGTAAGGCTCTCATCAGAAACCTCCAGTAACTCCTATATATCCTGCTCGTCTACATCTAGTCCTGCAGTATCGATTAGGTTGACAATTTGGTCAACCTAAAGATACAGCGATAGGCTCTTCCATTCAGAATTTTTGGATACTTTCAGCCATAATTTCTTCCACACTTTGTTCATGCATTCATCAGTTAATTCTTGCCATGCAAAGTCAATATTTCCTATAGCATCCATGGTGTTATATTTTTTCCAAAATTGCACCAAACATAGATTTAGGCTACGATGAATTGCCACCTTTTGCTGATTGGTTCATGTTTGTGAATAATTGTATTATAAATGAATCAATGAAATGCTATGATAATTTGAATCAGTGTAAATTTTGAGAATTTTTTAGGCTTTGAGCAACCTGCTTTATATCAAATCAGCATTAATCTAGACAGCATTAAGTGGGGTCTTACTGTATCTCATGACTTCATGTTGATCAACATGAAATGGATTGATTGAAGGAATGAATTTGGCACTAGATGTGTTAAGCACTAGTTTGTGCTAAACTTATTAAAAATTAATGATTCAGAGAAATCTGAAAGAAAAGATCTGATCTGGAGCGAGACTCAAAATCATAAAATATTGTAAATTAGGAAGGCAGCATTACTGATTGTACTGGTACTGTACTTAATGCTGGATGGCCAGGATATAAAAAAGTCAGCTTACTGTTCTGAAATACCCAAGGTTCAAGCCTGAATTAGGAACCTCAAGAACTTTCATAGAAGATCTGTTCAATATGTGTTAGCCTCTGTCGCTCACTATCAGCCATTCCTTGCAGACTGGAATAATCCCATAATGCGTGTAATTAAAAGACCATCTTTCTGCCCACAAGTAAGAAGTGTTAAAAACTAATCAAAACAACTAATTATGCTATCTAAGTCTCCCAAGAAGGGTTTTGCCAATTTTTCCAACTCAATTTATTTAATTTATTCTATTTCTGTTATTCTTTCCACTGAGACTTTGAGTTTCTTAATGTCTCTCTTCTGTTTGTAAAGGTAAAATTGTATATATTTAATATGAACTGTCAGAGTATTATCAGAGAAAATTTTGGTTGACACAGTTTAAGAACACAAAAAAATCCTACAAAACAATATTACTGAAGATAAGCATGGCAATACTTAAATGATATTCATGGAAAACATGTAATCCCATTGTACTATCTGTTTAACAAATTTGGGAGAATAAGTGTGGTAAGAAATTTTTGTCCATTGTTCACAGAAGGTAGTCTCCACTTAAGTTAAAAATATATCTATGGTCCATTACTATACTGATATCAGACATTTTGTCTGTTAAATACAAGTATCTGCTAAATTATTGTTCACTAAATCCAGGTTTCATTATATATATAATTTTGTTTTCTTTTATCATACAAAAAATTTGAAAAATAGCAACAATTTCAATTGCATTATTAGTATACTAATATAGCAATAAATTCATTTTTATTTCTAAAGAAACAATTTGTAATTCTTTTGTATATTTTAATTGTACAGAAATTTTCTTTCAAATTGTTACTTAAATTTATTGCTAAATTTACTATCTTATAATAATTAAGTAGGAAAAATAAGACATTTTTTTAACATATCAGTATTATTTAAAAATAAATTTAAACTTACGGAATTCCTAGCCAAGTAAGAAGAGTAGTAGTAAAACCACCACAAATAATAACTGTGACTATGGCTATGAGAGAGGTAGTCGTTAAAATTAAACGTCGCTGCTCTGATAAAGTATTTCTAATAGCTAATGCAAATGCAATAGCTCCTCTCAGACCTAATAAAAATACAGAAACAATGTTAATTAATATATTTTTAAAAATAAAATTCTATATAGCTTGTACTACTATGACTACAGTAGCATTAATATGCTATAATAATACTTATAATGAAATAAGTTATTTAAAAAAATATGAAAATCTTTGACAACATACCAGCAAAAAATAATATATGTTGAAATGATAATGGTATTTTATTATGTCTTCCCAAATTAACAAGGAATGTCAATGGATAAATATTTAATGCTCGTCCAATAGCAATAGCAAGCTGAAAATTAAGGAAAAAAACAACAGAAATAATATTTGTTATATTTTTAGTGTTACAAGATTGTAAAAATTATTACTCAATTTAATTGAAATTATCTCAAAAATATCAATTATCTTAAAACTAAATTCATGAAAAAATAGAGAATTTTAAAAATATATTTGAAGAGCCTGAAGATTTATTTATAAAAAATATATTAGATAAATTATCAATCTACATGCCAGATTATTTAAAATCAGTATATCAGTATAGTTCTTCCTAAAGAAATTTTAATTCTATAACAGTAAAAATTTTCATAGTTTATAACCATTGACAAATTAGAAAATTCTATTTAGAAATTAGTATTAAAATAAACCAGCAGCGAGTTGCTCAATTTTCCCCAGCAACATTTAAAATTTGTGGTGTTATCTGTTATCTTATTTTATTAAAAATTTTTTTATATTTTTAACTATTATAAAATGGCAGAAAGCTTAATTTTGCCATTGTAAAAAATTGTAAATGTTAATAACAAGTAAAATCGTCATTAAGTCAGACCCTACTGGAGATACACATGACTCCCATTATATCCTAACCCCCTCATCACCAAAATTTAATAGCATCAATCCCCCTAATACACAGACTTCCCTGTAAAATTTCATAAAAATTCAACAAAAAGCACAGGAGTTTTTAAGCTTCAAAAAGGATAAAAAAAATTATGCCCTCCACACACTAACATACATACATACAGAATTTTTTACATTTCTTGACATTTCAAAGTCCAAAAAATGTAAAAATCTTGGGGGGATCAGTTTTTGACCAATTGTCATACTTTCCCTCTGTTATATATAAAAGCAAAGAAAGTAAAAATTAAAAAGATTATAACGAAATAAATATTTAAAAATATTCTAAATTTCATATACATGTAATACAAATACAATGCAGTAAATTCTGACTTAAAAAGATCCATAAAATGAGTAACATTAAAAGAATTGTATTATGAAAATTTTAAAAACACAACATTATAACTAATCCAATCTTTTTAAAACAACAAAAAAGAAATTTACAATATATTCTGAAACAAATACAGTAGAACCTTGATTATCCGGACTAATTGGGGATGAAGGTAGTCCGGATAAGAAAAAATCCGGATAATCGAAACAAATACTTTAATTTGTCTTTTAATGATAATACAACATGTTTTCTTTTCGATGACATATCGGTACTATTAAAAGTAAATACTGTATTTAAATCGTGATCAAATTTTCAAGAAAAGGCTTTTAAGTAATGCATAAACCTTCAAGGCACGAGGCCCTTCGGACCGCGAGGCATAGGAGATGGCCCACGTCGTCCATGCCTTACGCCGCCCTTGGTCATAGAAATGATGTAATTTGAATATAAATTATTTATAAATACGTATGTCAAGTTATATTTTTATTACTATGTAAAATATATTTAAGAGTTTACGACCACTGTGCCGGGTGAGACGTTGTTGAAACAAAAAAAGTTATGCATTCCATCACGTACATAAACAGTGTCGTAATTCGCCAAGTGCAAATCAGCAAATTCGTAAAATTTTTGTTTATTTTGAACAATCCGGATAATCGAAAATCCGGA